GGAGAGACCATGTAACCCCCACAAAACCACCCAAACAACAATTAGCAGCAGGTGTTTGAAACTATTATCAATATACCAGATTGTGAAATTAGATTCAAAGCAAGAAAGCAAGTAATTTTCAACATGGTCCCTTCTCAGGGGAAAGGGCCACTAGTTTTTATCCAATTACTAACATGTGCAATCACATAGAGTTGGGATGCAATGTTACATGGGCTGGAGAAGACTGCTCAGAGCCTGAATACAATGCACTCCTCACAGCAGGGCTCTCTATTGTCAGGCTGGTTCATCTTGAATAACAAAAGCACCAAACCTCATTATAAACATACTCACTTTATCACACACACAAAAAAGCCCATCTCCTGCAACAGTCTTACAAAGAATGAAGACAGTCTGTGTAATAAAGGTTTGTACTGTACATCAAATAGAGGGTCTAGGAATTTTTAAACTGCTTGAATGTTACATGTGATTCTTTACCACGTGAAGAATTGAGAATGAAAATAAAAACACCCCAAAAAACAGGACAGAAAATAATCACCAGCACAGAAAGCTTTCAAAACTGCCCTTCTGTTTGCTAGGGTGGGATTGTTTTCTATGATATGTTTTCCAGCACTGTGACCTACAAGATGGGCTTTCCACAGTTTTCTTTTGAAAATTAATATAGTAGTTCAAGAGATTCTTTTTTTCTAGTAATTCTTACTAGTGTTTAACTCAACTAACATACTTCTAGTTCCAGTCCTCCGCAGTGCCTTTATTACTGCCTTGCTTCCCAGAAGTTTTGCATTGTAGGTCCTGAATTAGGACAGGCTGTAACAGCTGACAGATTTCAGGCTTTATCTGGATTGTTGTATCCAGCACTTTAATTTAAAATAGCTGTATCCCCAGCTTTAATGCTGCAAATAAAATTTTCAAAATTCAACAGAACACCTAGCAGTATCTGGCTGAAACTGAGGCCAGATGGGATGCAGCTCCCTTCCTTTCAAAATATGCTTACAGTCACTTAAATTGATGGGTATTTTACTGCTCATCAAAGCACGCAAGAGGAGGGATGATCAATTTATGAGGATAGGTACAAACAGACCTAACAAAAATCACCTCACCTGGTGTCACATGTGGACTTCAGAGAGTGTATTTCCCTTTTTCTTCCAAAGCCTGACACTTATCAGGTGCCCTTTAATCATTACCCAGCTAAAGTGAACATAAGCAACTCATTTAATCTCCGCTCATAAATCCTCCCATTTTTCATTATTACTTTTGCTTTCCTCTGAAGCTAAACCAGCCAAATACCATTTTAGGTTTGGGTTGTGTTCCTTCATCAGAGCTCCCTGATGTCAGACCCACACAGATCCCCTGACTTCAATCCTCATTTGAAATTGCTGAAAATCTGTCCACCCCTAAATCACTCCCACCCTTTCCTAATTCTTCCAGTGTGTCCCTCCATCCTCACATCTCCCTTCCCAAACACTTGTTCTCTACCTCCTTCCATTCAGTCCTTCAGATCTGAAGCAACATCTATCAGACTTGAGCAGACTTTGAGAACTGATGGTCATGCTCCATCAGTGAGCTACTTGTAAAGCTAAACTGATGTATCCCGTAAAGACTGCTGACATCTTCTGGGTGTCATTCTCCTCTTTTCCTCAGGTATTTAGATTGTCCACACTATAAATTCTGGTATTTTAAAATATCATCCATGGACAAATACGTGTTAAAACTGCACTGAGATCAATGGACTAGTTCAAAAATCTCTGCAAACCTAGCAAATACAAATGCAATAGTACCACTGGCTTCATCTCTCCAAGGTTTCAGCTGCACATGAAACAACTTTTTAGAACTAAGAAGTTATCTGGAAAACAGGCTGTGAGTCTCCAATTGAAACAAAAAGGTTTCTGATTCAGCAGGACTCTGCCTAGTTTGATCTCACTCTTCTTTCCTTTGTACACTGTCTATTCACTGGAAGTTCCTTGGGGCATGGACAGGATTTTACCTTTTCAATGGTCCGTAAAGTGCTTAGCCCATTGTTACAGGTAGAGAGGGAAAAAAATAATGTTATCTTTAGCTTTGCAGCAGATTACTCAAAATCCCTCAACTTGACTCCACCAATACCCTTTACCTACCTATCTACTTTTAAGTAGATGAATTTCAAAACTACTTATAATTTAATAGCACCAGCATAAGTCTGTACCTTTCAGTAAGACAAGCAGGTATCCCAGAAAATGGGAGTCTCAGGAAATTAGGAGAGTTTTATTAACAGAACATCCTTTCTTCAGTGCTTTCTCAGTTGTTTAAAGACTAATCAGCTTCTCAAGATAAATCCCATCCTCTCTCTTGATCAGAATCCAATATTCTAGTGGGCTTCCAGAAACAGTATTTAAAAGACCATATTGGGGAACCATGGCAGCTTTTGTTTCCTTCTTAACAAAAACTTTACATCACGGTGAATTGCACATGAAAACTTGGACAAATTATATCAGTAAATACCTGTACATCTTTCCTATTGTAATGTAACGTGTTCCTAATGAAAGCACACAGGCTCCTGATGGAAAACCAAAGGGTCTATTTTCCCACTGAGGCATAGGGGATTTACATTACAATCCCCATTAGCATTGATAGAAATTACCCATGTAAATCTACCTTAGGTACTGGGAATGGGAAAAGAGACCACCAATATTTCAAATCAAAGTAGAGTTCTACTGACTCTATACATATTCATGAAGGTTTTTTATTTTCTTTCTATCCTCCCTCCTCTGATCAGTTATTGTGTTGTAAGAAACATCTTGTAGAGTGTTCTCAGTCATTGTTCCAAGCACTATCTTTATCATTTTTAGAGGACAAAAGCAACCCTTTTCAACTTGTTATAAATCAATTTTTAATTTTAAAAGGAGATCAGACTTTTTATTTTTATGAAGGAGTCTTTAAAGAGCCATCTCCCTCTCTTTTGGAAGCTAGCCAGCAGGCAAATTTGATACCTGCTTGTATGGCTGAGAGAAGGAGATGACACAAATACATCAGCTGCTTCCCCTGTGAGAGCAGCAAGTAGCTCACGACAATGGTTCTTGAAGCTGGGTCTGCTGAGAGGGAATTCACCTGCTGTAACATTGCTACCAGCTTGTATTTGAAGACCATGCAAGTACTACCCATTGAAAACAATGCTGATACAGCCCAAAAGCAATTCAGCTGCTGCATCACTGCTGGATTTGCTACAGAACACAAGAAATGAAACTCAAATGTCTTAGAAAGACGCTGTGAGTTTGTTGCCCCTAACAGGGCAGACATGCTGCTCACTGTAGCCCCAAGGGGCTTCCACTAAATGTAGTGGGTCGCAGGTGTCCAGTCAACATTTTGACTTGTGGAACCGCCACCTTAAGTCTGGTTTGGAGTAAATCACTTTGCTTTTCAGGTATGTTCCAACTCACTCCTCTGCTGCAGCAATGTCTGGGCTCCCCCCATTCCTCCTCTGCTCTCTTCTATTTTTGCCAATACCTTTCTCACTAATGCTTTCTGTTAAACAGCCATTCCAGCCTCTCCTTGAACCACTCTACGAGTGGTAACTGTACCAATGAGATGGACTTGATGTGTCTACTGCATCCAGATCTGAGTAATTCAGAGGGCCCACAGCATGTACCTTTACTTCCTATACAGTATCTATCCACAATGGACAGAAAGTTTCCGGACTCAGATCACCTGCTACAGACACTTGAACATCCCAGTGATGACCTCAGCCTGACAGCCCCAGGTAACAACTTTGTATCAGACCTAAACAGTTTTGCTCTGGTAAGTTAAACACCATGGTAAGTACCAAGGGGGAGTATCTCCCTTGAGGTGTTGTTCAGCATTTCTATTCCCAGCTTTTAGGGCCTTTGTCCATCCTCTAAATAACATCTAAAATGCCAAGTTAGATGCTCAGGCTTTCAGGACACGGGATGGGGGGAATCAGGCATGTCAAAATGCCCAGAAGAGCTGTGTGCTGGGTGAAGAGAAGTTTTAGACCTTGCTGACAGCCCAGAAATTTATCAAAAAGTTTCCTTTCCTAGAGCCCAGGCTTTGGAGCCAAAGCAGCAAAACTGTCCAGCCTGATCACAACACCTCACTGCAGGCAGACACCTCTTACCAAATTGCTACGCAGATTGTCTTTTCAAAAGTGGCCAGCAGGAGAGGGCCCACACCCATCTTTATGTAATAACCCAAAAGATTGCATTCCTTTCTGCAGCAGGACAGCTGCAGAGGGAGGTGCCTCCTGGGGCACTTCCCCAAGAGCTGGGAGCGAGGGCATTCCTCCTGTCCAGCCCAGGAGGTTGCTCAACCCAACTCTTTTCCTGTCCCACAGGCCACTCTAACCTCTAAGGGATCATAAATCAGCTGAACCCTTCCCTTGATTTTTATTAAAAAAAATCAAAGCACTGACATTTTCTTGCATATGGGGCCAAATTCTGTAACATGTTTCAGCTCACATGCTGAATCAGGCCCCTGAGGGGATAGAGATGCTGCTCAACCTACTTTCTGGATTTGGGAACCAGGCACCTAAGCTGTGCAGGCTTGGGCACTTCTGTGCATGCAGAGAACTGCCCCTGCTGGTGCCCAGAGCCTCTCAGGGCAAGGAGGGAGATGTGTGACGAATTTTGTGTCCTTCCATGTTTAGAAGGTTGTTATGGTGGGATTTTGACAGCATTTTTTTAACCTGGCAGCAAGACTTTAATTCTCTGGGGCTTAACACAACAAGAGAAAGGCATTTTAAAGGCACACTGCCATCTACCTCAGGGCAGAATTCTCTGCCAGTACTAGAAGGGCCACGCTCTAGTACACACTGTTCGTAGGTAGACTCCCCATCACTTCTTTTCTCCAATGGTCTCATTGGAATAAAAGCCTATGGTTGTGATGGAATTTTGTCCCTGAAGTTCAGTGGCCTGTTACAAGGCTGATGCCACCATCCCCTCATGAAAGGCAGTAAAATCCTGCTCTGCAAGTGGTGTCACAACAGCGCTACGCTACTCATGGCAAAGAGGAGTGGTAGAGGTTGACGTTTAATTAGCCATGAAGTTAATAACAATGGCAAAAGCTGTTTTAGTAAGTACTGTAGAGAAATTAAGCTTGTAACAGCACTGAGTAATTCTGTCCTATCACCAGGAAACCATTTTAAAAGCTAAGACAGATGGTAGCAGAATGCACTGTGCCCACTTTCACACCTTCCTGAAGTGATAACTATGTGCTCATTTTGTCGACTCTGAACTATAACTGCTTTCAGTGCAGTGGTACAATGTATCATCACAACAAAGGCAGATATTTAGTACAGAACAAGGAGAGGGGGAAAAAAAAAAAAAGAGTACCATTCTCAGTATCTAACACAGATCATACCATTGGATGCCACCGTTCGAGTCTGATTTTGGAACGTTTTGGATCGAGTTCCATATTGTCCCGAGAAATGGCTGGCTTGGGGTGATAATTCATTCCATGCTCCGCTCTGAGAAGGATGAAGGCTGGCCTGGGACTCTGCAGGGGGATTCAGGCGCTGGGCCCAGGCTAAGTCTAAATCTTGGGGCTCCTCCTTCAGTTTTTCTCCTTCTTTGCCAACTCGTTGATAGATTCTTCCAGTGCTGTCATTCAGTAATCTTCTCATCCCTGTAATTTGTTTTTTAATTTCCCGGCTTTCATCTCCTAATGAAAACAGAGCCACAGTTATCACTGTAAATTAGCAAAAACAGTAATGGGTAGAGATTAGTGATTTTAGATACCAGTAAGAGTTGGAGCACAGAATTAAATAAATAAAGACAAGAAAGAAAAGGGATGGTTGAGTGGTCGCTGGGATGTACCAGGCTACGCTTTTACACAGCCACGGCCGACAGCTCTCGTGGCTGAAAGACCTGCTGAACTTGGCTTTCTTGATGCTGTTTCTAAAGCTTTGATGAGTGAGATTATTTTTTGCCAGAAGGAAATAATAATAGCTACAGCAGTTTCAAATAAACAGTCCTTTTAAGAGACTGATCCTATTCAGGCACTGACATCAGTGGATATTTTCCCTGAGTAAAGCCTAAAGGATCAGACCCTTTATGTATCTGCTGCACACTGAGGGATAGATCCTAAAAAAAAAACCCAAGCACAAAAAGCACCACATCACCCCCCCACCTCCAACCCCCAACACTGCATCTATTGATTTTAATGAACAAAATCAGTTCCTTAGTCCACAGAATTTAATAATACTGGATTATGCAGGAATAAATTAAACAGTAGCTAATATGTGTATAACCATATATAGCTGAACTGCTGGATGTCTTGAAAATGTAGATTATAAAGACAAAATGAAAATACACGCAAGAAAAATGTGACTGCTCCAAATAAATTCAGGGCATTTAAATAATAACAGTTACACACTTTAATACTCCTGGCACCATTTAAGTATTAATTTTACGTATGAAACTGCTGATTGCACAATGAATAGATGTGTTTTGGGCAGATAGCAGCTATTTTGCTCGTTAAAGCATACATTACATTTCAGGAGTAATAAGGAAGTGTTCATTGCCCCCTCTGAAATAAGAAGCTGCTGGTTTTTTTACTGGTAATAGAAAAATGAAACACCCTAAGCAAATGGGAAAACAAAGATGTAGAAACTGATGAATCAACCTTCCTCTGTAGTATATTTAATACAGTAATGCCTGGTATACTCTAGTCAATTGACATTTGTGCTTCCCAAAATAAACCTATTTTTGGCAAAGCTACAGAATAAAGGAAACCTCGGAAATAAAAAACCTCTACTCTCCAAAATCCAAGATGCAAGGTGTGTTGCCTCTGGTTTAACAAGGTATTTGAAAGTGTGCTAATTCCAGGCATGTGAACAATTTTATCAACTCCACAGCTCTACTCAGTCCCTTAAACTTAGGTGCACGCCTAGGGAGCAGCTACACCAGACAGATAAAAGAGCAGCAAACCCCTCCCCAGCACGGGCCAAGCTCAGCGTGGCTGGGACACACTGCAAGCCTGGCATAGCCAGGGACGAGCAGCACCTGAAAAAGGGCATTTTTACTCTAGGAGGCAAAGAAACAGAAGGGGACAGGAGCTGTACGATCCACTCCAGCCTCTGCTGGATCCCAGCATCTCCTGCTTGACCTGGCGCACCGGTTCCCTGGGTTGGTGCCAGCTGGTTCCAGCCCACCCCGATCCGGCAAGGAGAGTGGGTGGATTGCAAGAGAGCTTCCAGTCCAAACTTAGAAAAATATTTGCCAACCCTGTACAGCGACACTCCAGCACCGCTCCCTCCCCAGCTAAAGCGACAAGAAAAACCCTCTGCGAGGGAGTTCTGCTCTGTATTTATTTATATTGTTGGTCTGCCCGTGGGTCTGTGTGTGCGGCTGTGATTTAATTAACAAATCACAGCACCAATTCCTTTAAAACGACACTTTTTGGCCCCAGCCCAGCCAGGAGTTGGCTGTTTGCAGTTCCCAACCTTGAGAGGCTGCAGAGTACCACCAGACTCCAGTTACTGAGGCGCTCAGACCTGTACACTGCCTTTCTCCTGCTCGTGGCTGTACCTGCTCATATTCCAGATCCAAACGCTCCCACTACACCAGAGCCTGGAGCAAACCCTTACTGTTGTGCCATTTAACATTACACCAGGCTCTCAAGAGTTTTATGTTTGGATTTGTATTCGACGGCAAAATGTATGTGAGTATCAGGACAGCTTCCCACCCACCCCCTCCTGCCGGGTGCAGTGACTGTGCTACGTGTCTGGTCGGGTGACATGTTGTTAGAAAGATTAAATTTCCGTTACCCAATTACATAAAATATTAATGTTAATTGAGCTTATTCAGCCTTGATTCTGTTCCCTTGTTCCTTCATATAGAAATCTTCCTATACAGTGATAAGAGCATATTTAACTCCAAAATAAAGAACCCTACATTTAGGTTACAACAAACCCTGAACTTTAGGTAAATCCTTACTTACACGAGGAGAGTCTCCTTTTGTAAACTTGTTTGTTGGGGTTTGCATTTTGGGGTTTTTTTTAGGAATTTTTCTGTTTGTTTTGTTGGTGGTTTTGGTTTCTTTGGTTTGTTTTGGGATTTTTTTTTTTTTGTGTTTTGATTTGGTTTTTAAAGATGCCTTCTGTTTTACAAGGAAGGGCAATAAACCATCATAGATTATGCTGAGTTGGAAGGGACCCATCAGGATCATTGAGACCTACAGGCCATAAGCCTGACTTAAGTCCTCAGTGCAAATTTACATCCCTTCTCTTCCAATCATGACTTTTTACAGCTTTAGTTTGTAAGAGGTGAGGAACAGCAGCATCCTGCCCGAGGAGTGGAGAGCAGCTGATGTTACACCATCTGAACCTGCAGACAGGAGTAACACAGATTTAACTAAAGATTTAACTTCTTGCTCCCTGGTTATCTCATTTGGCTATTAGCTCTAGAGCCCCATGATAGCATTTTGTTATCAGCTATTCCACTGCTGATAATTTTCACAGATAGTAACTGTGTAATTTAAAAATCAAAAAAAAAAGGGAAGATGGACACAGAGAAAACACAACAACTCAAGCTACTATGTCCTACTGAAGAGCCAGCCTTCCTTTTTAAAATGATGAATAGGATAAGCCTTCCAAGATAGATATAAAGGTCTGAGAAGAGTGATGCCTATTTCAGCCTCTCCCTGTACATATAGCAGGGGCTCTCACCATTCCAAAGGAGACGGGAATGCCTCCAAAGGGGTGGCTACAGGATTTGCCACTTGGATTCCCTATGTAAACCCTCGGGTTTTGTCTGAAACCAATGAAGTTACTTGCAAAACACTAAAATATTTACAAAATGCTACTCAAAACAGAACCATGACAAGGTGCAGCCCTATTCAGGAACTTCTTTGTACAGGTAGCAATTGTCATAACAAAAACATAACAATTTTTAATAACTACTGTTATAGTTGTTTCTATGATGGATCCTTATATACAATCTACTTTTTTCCACACTACCTGACCTGTAATCTTATAAAACAACAACAAAAAAAGCAAAACAGAGCTCTTTAATAAATGCTACACTTATGAAAAGTAATTTTCACAATATTCACTTCTATCTCTTTCCTTGACGAAAATATACAGAACGTAAAAACCTCCTGCTTTGAAAGTTGCAAATATGTTTAAAATTACAAAGGCACAAATGTAAACCAGAACTGTCTCAGGATGCAGTAGCATCCCCTGGCTAAGTGTGCAGTTGTCTGAAGAAACAGACATGTAAACAACTCTAGTTAACAAAATATTAATGATAATTCATTATTACACTCTTTGCCCCTCTATGACTGTCCACCTTCTCACTATAATGCTTATTAAACTGAATATAGACATAGCACATTGCCTACCAACAAGTTCTTACGCTTTTCCCAAACAGTTTGTCAAAGATTATCACAGCACTGCAAAGAATTATAAAATGATATGTAACCATACCCACATGTTCAAATATTAATTTTATCCCATTATCAGAGAAGTCGTAACCACACCTGTAATAATGTGTGGTTATAAGTGTTTAAGTGGGTAAATAGAGTTATGGTCGGACAACTGTCTGTGTTTGATATTTTCCTCCTTTGACTCACATAAACAAATGGCCATAACATTGTCTTGGTCCAATATTTTGTAATTAATTTATGTTTCTCATATGTTTTGGGAAATATTCATGGGTCGCAGGCTTTTAAAATACAGTTTTTCTACTAATTAGTGTCTAATTTTATGTTGTTTGGGCAGCTGAAACTCCTACGGAACTTTTTCCTTTCTTGACTGCACAAATAGGGTTTTTTCCTCCATCAGGCTTTGCATCTCAGATTTCCACCTTTGTGTACAACTAGGCTGAAATCAGTGGATGAGTTCAGGAGTTATCTGCAGGGTAGGAATAGCAGCAACAGGCAGCCAGACAAGCACATGTGAGCTGCCAACAGCCTGGTTTGTAGGGAAGCAAGGCTTCAGAGGCGAGAAAAAGTGGAAGTCAATGCATATGGCTTGAAAGCTCAACAACAAAATAGTTGCAATGGGTTATATAATCAAACATATTAAACTGCAATTTATTAGATGGCACTTGAATGCTGCCCTCCCTGGATGGGGGCCAGCAAAACTCGGCTGCCGTGTTTGAAGACTCTGTAAAGGCTGATTCAGAGCGGCCCAAGGAACCGGGAGGCTCGTGGGCACAGGGCACGTGTCCCTGCTGCTCAGCCGGGCTGAACTCCCCAAAACATCCCTTGGAATGCTACAAGGTATTCATGTGTTTCCTTCAGAAACAGTTACACCAGAAGGGAGCCCAGCATCCCTTCTCAGCAAAAACTATACCCACGTCGAATAATAATTTTCTAAAATCAAGGTATTTTTGTCACTGTCATCCCGTTCCAGAAGTGATCCTGAAACAGAAAGTTGTGAAGGTCAGCATGGGGGAAACAGAGGAGCCATGTGCATGATTCCTTATCGGATCAAAGGTTTCCTAACTCACGTGGAAACTTGCTGTAACTGCCCTGTGCATATCTGGAATCGGGCATCTGTGTAGCTGAACTCACAGGGTAAGCACACATTTCCCAAAAAGGGGATACCTGCTCTGTGCTGGCATATAAGAACCTACACTGAAGAAAGAACACGGGCAACAACACCCTCTGCAAATGCAAAATCTGAACCCCAAGTCTTGGGGGAGGGCAAGTGGTCATGAACCATGTCAGAGGGTCACACAAGAAACACGAGTTATGAGCCGGGGACTTTGACTACCCCAAGCTAACACGTAGGGACGTTTAACCTGTCTCAGTTGAGGCATCTCAGCAGTGCCCCAAAGCACCATTTAAAAGCACTTGCCTATCTTCGTGTCACCACACAAAGCACCAACACTGTATTAACAGGAAAACTGGATCACCCTCAAATTAGACCCCCTACTCCCAAAGCCAGCACGGAAGTTCATGGGTTGATAACTCTGCCTACCATGAGACACACGAAGTTAATAAGCACCACAAACACTAATGCAAGCACAGTAATTTGCAGAATCGAGCCCAGGATCAGACCCTGAGACCATTCAGGATTGGGGGGGGGGGAGGGGTATTTCTCTGGAAAGTGGGTCAGACTGGATGGCCCAGACATCACTACCACCACAAAACAACTCTTTGGAGGAGCCTGGTGACAAAGTTTCAAACACACCCAACAGGAGCAGCCCCAGAAGCCGAAGTTACACACTTTCACGCCACACTGCAACAGTCAAATCACTCGGGAAAGGACAAGCAAGTAACTGTTCAATAAAAGTATATATTAATGGGGTCATATAATTAAAAAAGTAATAATAGATATGCAACAACTTCTCTCAGTTCTTGGAAATATCCCAGGTCAAGATCATGCTTCATCCCCAAGGGGGAATGCTTTACAAAGCCGGATCATTAGAGACCACAGATACAATAAAATAAACTTTATGCAGTCTTAATTACAGAAGCCACTGCTGCAACAACCAGACTTGGAATATAACTCTATTAACAATAACACAGGTCTGTGAAGTTACTTGTTAAGTCAACTTTTTCTCTGTGAATAAATTGCAAAGGATATTATTCCTGGGACAGAATAAATTCTTGAAATTAGTGAGTAACTTATGCATTGCTCCCCTGCTCCAAGAACACATTATTTATTTTTACCGTGACACAGTGAAGTTATTAATCTGCTGCCTTCCACTTCAACAATAAGAAATGCTGTAAAATGCACAGACACCTGCACTATAGTACATTTCAGTTCCACTTTATATCAGTCATAAACATCTCTGTTTTGGACATCTCTTCAAAACAAATGCTCCAAGCACACTGTGCGTAGCATTCGATTTTATGAAACTATAAAAGTTCTTCACTGTTAATTACACAGACAAATGTCTCATCACACATTTGATTACCAGGATAATATAATTAGTTTTCTACATTAACCTTTCAAACACAGAGCCTGAATTTCAAGCTGAAAGCATTGTAAAAACTCTCAGTCTGGAGGTATACTATATTTCTACTTTTTTGTGATGGCAATAAAATATTAAGACTGAAAAAAAGCAGTACAGTATATGCAAGAGATTTTTTTTCTTTTCAATAGACAAGCTAAGTTTATCCAGTACTGCCCACAACACAGTCCCCTCATGGGTTTGTAACTTCAAGTCTGGGCTTGCAGCCCTATGACAGGAAGTTTACGCTGATAACTAGTAAAAACTCAAGTCAGGCCTGTCTTAAATCTTGCCCATGTTTGAGGTTTAAGCACTTCACTCTGGGATGCCTCTTCCTTCTCAGACTGAGCAGCCTCTCCTGGTATCAGATAACTAAGCCCTTCCCTTCAAACCAAAAGACATGCCAGTGCTCATCTGCAAAATACAGTGGGAATATTCTACATTCCCCCCAAATTTTTTAAAGACTCTGTTTAAGCATGTCCTTAATCCAGAAAGATGTGACTTCTTGTTCATCATCTTACCAGAGCAAGGGATCAGAGGACAGGACAAGCCACCACATCTCCCACTTCAACACTCCACCACGTGACAAAACTTCACAAGTTCCATTCAAAAAACAATTGGAATTTACACCATCATAACCATCAGAACTCATGACCGCAACCATGTTCCTTTAAGTGCACTGGAGCTTCCTCCAGTTTTCACCCCACACTTACACAAAGCCGTACTTTGCCCACCCCTGCTGGTGCAAAAAAGACTATCTAGGTTTAACAGGTCTTTCCTGACATTTGATCCTTCATTTATCTGTATGTTAAAGAGTCAGGATTCTTTTGATTTATGTATTTACACTAGCAGCTTCCCTCTTCTCAACAGCACATCTCTTCAGTTTGAGTTCACTGTGCTCAGCTGTGCAGCCAAAACATTTTGCACATCCCATTCTTGATAAATCTTCACTCACTCATATACTGCCACAAACATTTCACCTTCTTCAAAGGTAATAGTTTCAGTGCTGGATCTTAGCATCCATTCTATGCTAAGGGCTGCATCACACTGAGGTTTCAACAGTTGATCCCACGGATCACTTAAATTAGAGAACAAACTCGCCTCTAAACCAGCAAGTTGGAAAAAACATCCTCATCGGGTAAATTTTGGCACAGAAAAGTGAAGTCAAGTGAAGCAGCGGTAATACCCTGACACACCTTAATAGTGGACAGGACACAGAGCTGGGGAAAGGGTTGTGATCCCATCACCACTGAAGCATAACACAGAAATATTACCCCTTGCAATGTGAGTTGTCTAAAAGGAAATCCGGAATGCCAAATGCCACTTATACCAGATCCTTGCCAAAAAGTGGGAGTCCAGATTTCAAGTGCTCCCTGCTAAGTTCAGTCCCTAAGACTAGTCTGCAAATCTTGCACGGTCACATGTCATTCAGCCGTGTCAAAACCAGCACATTTTGAGGAAATCTGAAGGTTGGACACTCAGGAAATACCACCTTTTCCTTTCCATAGCAACTGAGGGCTGGCTCCCAGGACTGCAACTCTGTGCTTCAGTACCTGATAAGGAAGATCCTTGATAGAACTCACATTCTTAAAGGTTAAATTCTGACTGACTCTTGAAATAGGTGAACTTGAGGCACTTAAATGCCAGAGCACCATCAGTCACAATGGAAAGCTGAGCATAATAAAAAATAACAAACCCCAAACAAATCTAAGGACAACACAACCAAACCAAACTCAAAATCAGTTGGTCTGACTCACAGTACAGATGTCAAAGAACGGACTCCTGCACGTTCTTAGAGCACCCTGGCTTAAGCAGCTCAATGCCTAATTCTTGCCAGACCTTTATCGTGACTTAGGGTTGGAAGAGAAAGCATTTGAAGTAAAATTCTGGTGGAGCTCACTCTATCAGGTTTATCAGACTTCACCAAAAGTGCTTACAGAACACGAAATCCAAACACAAAGCACAGCAACCACCTTTGCTTCTCCCTGGAAATGGGTGTAGGGAAGAAAGATTTGCTCAGTATCCTAACGGTAAGAAGCTGAGAAGGGACTTTAACACAACTCCAACCTCCATGTAAATGTTCCAATCATCAGAACAATCCACACTGCCCAAAACATCCTCCTGTTACCTCCCATTTGCCGCTGACCTCTAGAAGAGGATGTGATACTATGAATTTAGGAAACAAAGGCATTTTGCAGTCAGATTGACTTCAGGTGCTGACTCCCACCTTCCAATGCTTCTTGCCGGCTGCAGGGGGCAACATGCACCGACTACAGAAATCTCAAATCACCCCCCAAAAATATTTAGGCTCCTGGTGCTGTTAAGGAGAGGCAGATTTCTTGCTGCAAAAGCACCTGCTTTCTCCTAAGCCCAAACAAGGTGTCCAAGAGCTTACTTTACACAGTTAGTAAGTCATGGTAGCTCAAAAATCTGAGCCTTACTTCTATGAATTAGGCCTGCCAAATTTTTGCTAACTCGGGACAGGTCCTGGATGTGACAAGAGGGAAGCAGGAAAGGAAGAAGCAATTTGCAGGTGAGGAGTTATATGGGACAAAAATCACATAGGAAAGGTAAAGGTTCACTGATAACCAGTCCTAGCAGTCCTATCGTGCTGTAGTATGGATCATGCTGCAAACTCTGTATTACTTCTCTATTTTCTTTACACATTTGTAACTGTTGATTTAATTTAATTTTGCCATGGCAGGATTAGCAGGCAAGCTCCAGAGGTGAAAGGACATTACATTAAGACAGCACATTAATCCTCTATCCCACCCAAGGCAGAAGCAAAACCAAACAAATAGCAGCTTCCTGGAAATTGAATTTCTGTTATCCAGATGTCAAAGATGTAATACCCCAATTACACAAACTATTGCCAGTGAAGCATGCCAGGGAATATGCAATGTAAATGGGGTGAGCACAGAGCTGCAAAACTGCAGAGTCAGCATCTGGCTCTCCGAGTGAGTGATAATTAGCACTGTGTGTAGACACTAATAAACATTTATGTCTGAAATTACAACTTTTAGCAGTGTTAATAAAGGATATATTGGCAATTCGTAGAATAAAAGGGTCTTGAAAAGAACGTCATATTAAACAATGGCAGGCGCTTCCTGTGCTTGCACAGAGATTTTTTTTCCTCCCTAATTGCAAATGGCCACGCTATGTTGCTCGGAAATTAATCAACACAAGCACATACCTAAAAAAACTGGTTGTGTTTCTTTGGTCTCCCCATTAACATCATTGCTGTAGTCAGAGATCTTATATATCTCATGATGGTAATCTGGAATGAAAAACGATAAAAAAAATTAGAACTCAAGTGATCTGGAAAAAATGAACACTGAACACATTGCTACAGTTTTACTACATAATTTATCAATATATCTGCAGTTTATTTCATGTACATCAAATTAACCACAGAAAATGTGCTCTGTATCAGCACCTCCTAAAAAACCTTTGCTCACACTGGAGAGACTCAGCTCAAATATTTCACAGATTTTAGGGAATAGCTATGCCTGCCCTAAATTACTGTGTTCATTTTCACAGCAAATTATCCCACCAGATGCCAATTATCTGGCTTCTTGCTTTACAGATGGAAAGCAGATTTATAATGAAAACTTTACCTTCCCAGAGACCAAGGGAAACTTTCAAACTTCACCTCAGCAAGGAAATCAGCAACGTACATCAGGGCTGTATCATTCAGCTATCCTGACTCATACCAGTGTCAGTGGCCTCCAAATTGTGAAGAAAGGAGGGTCAGGGACATCTTAGGATATTCACCCATAGAAACCAATGTCTGTGATGACCCTAAGAATACACATTGGCATCTCTGCATATGAGACGTTACAGGATATTAAAAAAATAAATTTCACCACTGAATTTCTATTTCAAATAAAAGAGTATTTTGCCGTGAAGGTCTCTCTTGTAACCCCAAGCAGGTGTCCAGTAGAACCAGAGCTTTGTTTACATGTGTGCACAGAGGGAATAGTAAGTCCAAGGAAAAAAAAAAAAAAAAAAAAAAAGGCGTCTAAAGGCAGTTCTCCTGGATGCTATTTCTGACTCTGCTATTGGCACACACTTTGTCCTTCGGCAAATCGCTCAAGACTGAACAATATATTCAGTGTCTTGAAACAGCCACCTCCCCACCTCACTCCTTCAACGCCCTCCCAGTTCCCAAAGCTCTCAGCTACTCCCTCCGTAAACTGGTTTTTATGTTTACTCGCCTCACAAAAAGCGAGGCAGAGATTAACTCATGGGAAGGCACTTTGGGCGATTCACTTAAAAGGCACAACAGAAAGAGAGGGCAGCATAGGCAGCTCGTCCTCCCACAAGCGGCACACCTGCACCTCTGACCAAATAGCTACAGCATTGGAAAGGTCTCCTGGAAGTCAAACTTTTTTTGTTATGTGCTGTTTATTTGCACAGCACGACTGTCTCGAGGCCACAAGAGGAGGAACAACCCAGTAAGTAAACTAAAACCAATCCTAACACAGCGGTGCAACAGAAAGAGAAGGGCCTGGAGAGAAAATGAGGAGGGAAAAAAACCACAGGAGGGAGTTGGAGAGGTCAGCGATGAGGTGCTGCACAAAGGGCTCCTCTGCCTCCCGAGCACACCCAGGGAGTGAAACGGGTAAAGGTGAAGTTTGAGATACGACATCAAGGAAGTACAGACTCCTTTCACTAGGCTAAAACAACGGGATTTGTGCTGCCTTCCATGGTCAGGAGCTGTCCTGCTAAACAGGGGGAGTGATGGAGTGGCTTGGTGGGAACTTCAAGGCCCCTCAGGGTCAACCCACAGCACTCTGCACCTTCATCCTCTCAAGGGCATCTGAGATCTGCTGGGAGTAAGTACATGGAAACTAGGACTTAAATGACTTACAGACTCATGGTCCTAAGATATATAGATTACACATGGTTTCTTCTCTAGCACTTCCCTCCATACATCCAGCTGGTCACAATGCTCTTCTGGTCTGCAGCTGCTGCCTCAAAGTCAGCACATGTCAGCCCAGATGCGGCTGTGTTTTAGCACAGGAACAGATTTCCTCTCTATCTGGTCACTATTGATCATCTCGATAAGGTGCTCTGAAGTTATTTTTGGGACAGAGTAAGCACTGTATGGGCACACATCACTAGTAGTGTGGGAGATGGTGTGTTACCAATGAACTGACACAGCATACCCTTTTCTCTTTGGTTTCCTTCTTCTGCCTTGGATGTCACAGTCCAGGCGCTGCAAAATCCATATCAATTTCACAACAGTAAACACTAAACTGTGACATTACGGAATGACTCCTGCAAGAGGCAAAGGCCAATTACAAGAGACAACTATTTATACATAATTATCTTTCTAATCAACTGTGATAGAAAAAGAGTATGCGAGTGCAGACTCACATGCAAAATGTGATTTTTATCTCCTCCATTCTCAAAGTACAAAGACGTAATTTTCTCTCTAGGATGTGCTTTTAGTGTAGCTTTCTATTTGACATTCTACATACAAAAAGAGGTACCAGATAAAATGAGAATTACTAAAAATGTACCTTCATAGCTGAATTTACCTATTAAAACAAGGTTAAATAGATTATCTCATACACTGAAGCATATCTAAACCTGTAAGAAGTGCAACTGAGACTGGCAAAATAATCACCTATTTCTGACACTGCACGTATTCTTTCTACAGGTCCATTAGGACAGAAATAAAACCAGGTCTTCAATTTCAGCTTCGTTCTTCCACGTGTTTCACTTTCACCAACCTCGAGGCTCCAGACCCATCCTGCACTAACTCTGCCTCCCAGTCAGGAGCACGTTCACTATCAAAAACCCACAAACCAAACCTGTTCTCTGCAAAAATCACACCCTTGATAGGTTTCCTAAAGCACACAGAGTTTCAGACACGTCTGACAGGTCACTGCCCCTCTAGTTTCTAACAGGGAGCATGTGTGATGCTCCAGACCCCCCTACCACCATACAGCAGTCATTATTTACTATTCCTACTGAGTTTATTTCCATCTTTGAATTTCTTCCCATCGAACGTAATTTTGCCAAGCGCCTGCAAAGACATCATTCTTCAGGCAGCAAGTCCTGACACTCTCGTGTGTGTGTGTGTGTGTCCCCTTTCACCAGTGTGACATTACACCCAAGCAGTCACCTGCCTTGAACTTGGCATGCAGGACACACACGGCGTTTCATGGAGATATTCCCGTCCAATACTTGAAAACACAAAAGGAAAAATGATCTCGACTCAAATCCATTAGGGCAAAATCATCTCATCGGCTGGAGGAGGGACAAATCCCCCACTAAAATAAATCCCTAGGGGTGGGAAGTCCACCTGTTAAAATGCCTACCAGCGGCTGCATCTTTTTTTTCCCCTTTAATTAAAGAAAACAACAACAAGACTGAAACACAGAGCTGTGCTTCTTCCCCGACATGAATTCAAATATTTCCCCCTCGCGATCCCTTTTAAAATATCCTCTTTTCCAAAAG